TTATGTCCATCTCTGTTGAAATTCAGTGTTCTTCCTCTTCCCCTTCCCTGTAAAAGGAAGCAAAACTACTTGTCTGCGGCAGGTGAAGGGTAGCTGAAATCCCAGCATTGCTCTGTTTTTAGCAGGGGCTGCCTGAATCCTTAGGCACTGCCAGCCTTACCTCTCCATGGTGGAACCGACCTCTTTAATCAGGTTTCAAAGACAGCTGTTATCCTCTTTGCTTTGTCGACTCCCACTCTCATCCTGCAGCTGCAGCTACGCTTAGCTTTACTTTACGAAACCCCTGGTCTGAAAAATACAAGGGGCTTTCAGCGCTTCAGACTTTCCCTGTCTACTTGATTCTGTTCACTGGTTCTCAGCCCGCTGGCTTGTGCCTATGCAGGCGCAGTTGCAAAATTGTGTACAGCTGTGAGCCGATTGCTTAAATATGCCGCTAAAGGTATTTGTAAATCTTGGTGTCTCCTCAGCTATCAGAAAGCTCAGTCAGAGCACTAAAAGTTTGATAGGATGACTTACACAGTTGCCATGTATATTCCATTCTTCAAGAGGTCTTGAAAACAAGGAATGTAATCCTAACACATTACTTCACCGTGTTTTTAGGTAGCGTGCATGGGGGTGTTTTGGTTCTTTGCTCATGACTCTAATCCGTATTTTTCTGACAGCGATTGCTATTTCAGTTTTTTGGGTTATTTTATGTACGTCCTTATTGTACAGTGTGATCACATCATTGCTTTTCATCCTCTTTCTTTAACAAATCCCTAGAGAATTATGCAAGCTGTGCTTTATACATTTATTTTTTGCTGAAAAAAATACGCCTACTGGACCCCTCTCAACACAGGAACCTGCATTTGAAAACCATAGGCTCATTTTGCTTCAAGACTCGGGTAGACCCACATTTTACCAGCACCCCACCACCCTTTCAAATGCAGACCCTTGTATTTATTACGGAACGTGATGCTGGCTAGTAAATAACCTCATTACTATTTATCTCATGCATATCAAGAACTGTGTTACGTGATTACATTTTTGATGTTTTAGGCCTTTATGTAACAGACTTCACTTTTTTCTTCGTATTTAGTGAGAGAGACTATGGAGTATGTGTAGTTTTGATAACTAAGAGGTTTTTGTGCAGTAGAAAAAAAGGAGAGCAACATACAAGTAACAGTTTTTGGCTCTTCACAAGGCGCAACAAAACCTTACACAATCTGTTGTCTTTTATCATCTTTAGCAGGAGACATTTAAAAGTGGTAGGATAGGGGAATAAGTTGGGAGCAACATTTTCCACAACTTAATCTTTTCCTGGAAGACCACCTCAGTTAAAGTGAGGCTCATCTGTGGGAAATAACAGCTGTTACTGTCCCTTAGGATGTGATAATAATTAAGTGCTATGAAAGAGATGAATTAATTTCTTGGGTTTTGTGTCAAAAAAGCATGGAAACTTGAAAAGAATAATAAATTGTTGAGATTAGGATTGCAAAATAATCAACTGCTTTTGGCTGCTGATGTGAAATACTAAATAAGGAGGTTTATATTACACTACAGCACAGCTTGCCAGAAAATAATAATAACTGATACTATGATTGTAGTTGTAGATTATATGACTATATTTTCCTCACTGAGTTCATAATAAATGACTGCTGAGTGTTTTAAGATAATTTTAGAGAAAAGTGTGATATGTTTCTAGATTTTTAACATTCATTTTTATTGAAAAATGACATTGAACCCTGCGTCATGGTTGCTACTGCAGATAGTTACTGCTGACTGCAGCGTCTGGTTTGTTACGGCCAGATCTCCGTCCCGTTACTGCTGCCTCTCTCTCTGTCAGCAGCAGCCTGCTGGTGAATCTCAGCCATTGAAACCTGTAACTGGCACGTCCAGGGAAAAGGGAACTTTTTGCCGTTGGTTCTTGCTATGATTTTCTATCTGTGAAGGTAATAAACACAGCAGTCAAATCGCTTTTCAATTGTATTTTTCACCAGCTAACCGGGCTGTATCATGCCCTTTGCAGTAAGGCATTTCCTCTGTTTCTTAGAGCTGTGCCTTTGTCTCTGAGTTTTCGATGTCTTGTTTCAGCTGTAGATAGCAGAGCTGCGTGCCCAGATCATTCTCTCCAATACCACCTTGGTGCTATAATCAAATCCTTTCTCTTAACCATTGTTCTTATGTCTGAACACTCCAAGATAAAGTTAGCTGTTCTGTAGCATTGCGCTGGAAAATATAGTCAAGTTACCTGGCTCTTGTGGTCTGTCGCCGCTGCTAGCGATGCTGCTTGCCAGACTGCTATGAGGGTGTTTGTTTCTTGCTCTTAACTGTAATTTGCAAATTGTGGCTCTGAAATAATTAAATGTGCTCGACTTACCAAGCAACCCAGATCACATTCCGGAGCTGCTGTATCCTTATTAGTCACCATTCTTTATCATCTGCAAATTTTAATCAGTTTTGATTCACGTTTACCTGATCACTGAATAACACAGCCCCTGGACTTGAAATGCCAGTCGCTGTGGAAGACCAGAAGAACGTTCCTGTTAGATAACGACTCACCACTTTTAAAAAACCCCGTCAGTCAGTTCTGTGAACTCTCTCACAAAGGTCCTGCGTGGTAGTTTCTCTGTATGCGAGCGTTCGCCACTACGGCCGTGCCGCCTCTCAGAAACAGCCTTGCAGCTCAGTGTCCGGGACCTGGTGTCACCCTGGGAGCAGGGCTTGCTCTGCAGCGAGGGACAGAAACAAGCCACCGCCATTTGTGTAGGTACACAGTGTGTAAGCGCAAATGGCAGGCAGGCTTTGTATGGAATTTCGGCTGCAGTCTGTAAGGAGGCTGCACGCAGAATTGTTACGTGTGTGGGTTGTCCAGCACCTCAACCAGAGCACAGTAACCTCTGAAACGCCCAACAGGGTTGAGTTTCGGTAACACGGGTGAATCATCTAACAGGTGGAGGCAATAAATGATTCAGCCTTGCAATGTGTAACTGGAAGGTGGTTTTATTTCCTTTCCCTCCCTAGAATCATAGAATCATTAAGGTTGGAAAAGACCTCTAAGATCATCAAGTCCCACCATCTGCCCAACAACACCGTGCCTACTAAACCATATCCCGAAGTGCCATACCTACGGGGACCTCTGTGGGTCACCTAGTCCAAATCCCCTGCCGAAGCAGGGTCACCTACAGCAGGCTGCACAGGACCTTGTCCAGGCGGGTCTTGAATATCTCCAGAGAAGGAGACTCCACAACCTCCCTGGGCAGCCTGTTCCAGTGCTCCGTCACCCTCAGAGGGAAGAAGTTCTTCCTCATGTTCAGACGGAACTTCCTGTGCCTCAGTTTGTGCCCATTGCCCCTTGTCCTGTCACTGGGCACCACTGAAAAGAGCTTGGCCCCATCCTCCTGACACCCACCCTTCAGATATTTGTAGGCATTTATAAGGTCCCCTCGCAGCCTTCTCTTCTTCAGGCTGAACAAGCCCAGTTCCCTCAACCTCTCCTCGTAGTGGAGATGCTCCAGTCCCCTCACCATCCTTGTAGCCCTCCGCTGGACTCTCTCCAGTAGCTCTTCATCCTTCTTGAACTGGGGAGCCCAGAACTGGACACAGTACTCCAGATGAGGCCTCACCAGGGCAGTGTAGAGGGGAAGGAGAACCTCCCTTGTCCTGCTGGCCACACTCTTCTTGATGCACCCCAGGATCCCATTGGCTTTCTTGGCAGCCAGGGCACACTGCTGGCTCATGGTTAACCTGTCGTCCACCAGGACACCCAGGTCCCTCTCCGCAGAGCTGCTCTCCAGCAGTTCCACCCCAAGCCTG